GTTGGCGGTGCTGGCGCCCTGGGCGGGCCGAGGGGCCGCCGCCGCCCCCACCGCCCCCAACGGCACGCTGGGGGCCGAGCTGGAGCGCCGCTGGGAGAGCCTGGTGGCGCGCTCGTTGGCGCGCCTGCCGGTGGCCTCGCAGCCCAAGGAGGCGGCCGTCCAGAGCGGCGCCGGCGACTACCTGCTGGGCATCAAGCGGCTGCGGCGCCTCTACTGCAACGTGGGCATCGGCTTCCACCTCCAGGTGCTCCCCGACGGCCGCATCGGCGGCGTGCACGCGGACACGAGCGACAGTGAGTGGGGCGGGGGCGGGGGCGGGGGCCGGGGCAGCACCTGCCGGCGGCTGTGGGAAGCCGGGACCGGCTCGGGTCCCGGCCTCTCTGGCGCAGGGACACGAGCGCTCTCGGCCCCCCGGAGTCGCCGCGCGGACTGCCGCTGCGCACCCGGGCGGCCGAGCCCCGCCTCCCCGCCCTCGGAAGCCCGGGCTCTGGGTGCCGAATTCCAGCGCCTGCGCCCGTGGGCACGGGACGAGCGGCGCAGCCAACGGCACCCGCGGGGGCCCGGGGAGCGCGTCCAGGTCGGGGACGGCGGGGCCGCCTGGGTCCTACGGTCCGGGGCTGGGAGCGGCCGCCGCGGGGGCCGGGCAGGGAGGCCAGCGAGCCCGCGCCCGCTGGGCCCCGGGGGGGCGGGGGGGACACTTGCATCCATCCGCACCCCAGATATGAGGGGCCCGGAGGCTCGCAGGCCGAGGAGGGGCTGTCCGGGGCCGGGTGGGGCGGGCCAGGGTCCCCTGCCCCGGAGTGACCGGCGCCCCGCCCCCAGGCCTGCTGGAGCTCTCGCCCGTGGAGCGGGGCGTGGTGAGCATCTTCGGAGTGGCCAGCCGGTTCTTCGTGGCCATGAACAGCAAGGGCAAGCTGTACGGCTCGGTGAGTACCGCAGGGGCCGGCGGAGCCCCAGGCTGGGGCCGCGGCGCCCGCAGGATCGCTCGCGACCTCTCCAGGCCGGCCGATGCCTGGATCATGGCGACTGTGGTGTGGGTCACAGGATCGCCACCGTCCCGGGCCCCAAACACGAGCGGCCTGAGGCAGTGCGGTGAACTGGGCCAGTGCGAACGAGGGGCAGAGCCCCAAGACGGGGAGCCGGGAGATTTCTGCCATCCCTGAGTGGGCACCTCCTAGTCCCTCAAGAGATGCCCTCCGCAGCCCTTCTCTGTAGCGTCTCTGGTGGGTTCCAGCCCCAGGACGCAGGACGGGAGCCTTTAGGGCAGGTGGCTGGAGCACCAGCTGCTGCTGCGGGCTGGCCGCATCTGTCCCCAGCTTCCCAGGAGACACCTCTCAGCCAGAGCAGGGCCGGGCCAGAAAGGAGCCCCTGACGAGTGGCCCTCAGGGTTCCCTGGCCAGGAGGTGGCCCCTCCTGACGCCGTCCCTTCTCCCTCCCAGCCCTTCTTCGCGGAAGAGTGCAAGTTCAAAGAGATCCTCCTTCCCAACAACTACAACGCATACGAGAGCTACAGGTACCCGGGCACTTTCATCGCCCTGAGCAAGACCGGCAAGACGAAGAAGGGGAGTCGAGTGTCACCCGCCATGAAGGTCACCCACTTCCTGCCCAGGCTGTGACCCCCGGCCTCCTGCCCCGGTGTCTGGGTGCTCGGGGAGGGGGGGCCTTTCTTCAGATGGACAGTTTAATGCGAGAGTAGGTGTAAGATATTTAAATTAATTATTTAAATGTGTATATATTGCCACCAAATTATTTATGGTTCTGTGGGTGTGTCTTGTTTTTTTGTTTTTTTTTTTTTTTGGAAAAAAAGACAAACAAAGGAAAACAAACAAACAAACAAACAAAAAAAACCCAGCCCCGGGTTCTCTGGTAAGACGGTGAAGAGCCTGCCACTGGCGTCATTTAACGTGTCAAAAAGTTGTCACAAGTGAGCTGCTACTTCTCTGTGTGTTTAAAAACGGTGACGTCAGCCGCCGGCCTCAAGCCCGCTTTGCACGGTGCCCTGTAGCGTGGCTGTGAGCGTCCCTGCGTCAGGACGGGCCTTCCTGGGGGCCCTGGAGCCAGCTAAGGACCCTCCCAGCCCCCGGCTCTGCTCCCGGCATCCTCCGGCGCCCCGCTCCTTTGGGCCCTGTCGCTGTCCGTCGGGGCGTATCGCCTTACTTGGGGTACAGAAACCGCACTGTGGGAGTGAGCCCTGCCGCTCTGTTTTTAGACCTGCCAAGACTGACCTTTGAACTTCCCTGCAGTCAATCTTCCTCCATCTCCCCGACGGGGGAGACTCTTAGACCGCTCTGTAAACCCCCGCGCTCCTTTTTTGGATCAGCCACAACCCGCGTTGCTCTGTGGCCCCTGGGAAAGAGGCCGAAGCCAAGCAATTTGGTACATCCGACGGAAAGGAACCGACATGCCCGCGGGAAGCTAGACGTGGGCAGACAGGTGTGAAAGACTACAGTTCGTGAGAGCAGGTACTTCTGGTAAGTCATAGAATACAGGGTTAAAAAAAAAAAAAAAAAGCACCAACCTGTGCTTGGGCAGCTTGGGGCTGAGAGCTAGCTGTTGACTTTAGGTGAAATGTCCCCGTAACGGGACAAAAACACGTGATGCCGCGTTTGCGTGGAGGAAGATGCCGTCCCGGATCAAGTGCGTTTCGCATCTACCTCGGGAGCCCTTAAACCAGTCGTCTGGCGAGATCTGCAGAGGGCTCGGACCGGGTGCAGGGGAGCACCACCCCCAGGGTCTCTTTTTCCATATGTAGCCAAAGGGATCGCAGATAGCCTCCGTGCGTCCCATTCAAACCTTGTCACGTTTGAGCTATCTTTACCCCGTGATTTACTTTTAGTAAGGATAATCATGGTGAAAATATTTGCAGACAGCTGTTAGAGTGCACTATATGGTCACCAAGTAACCTTATATTTTTCTTTATATATTTTACAAATGTAACCCCTGTCGGTGGCAGCAAAGACACAGGGGGGCAGGGTCGGTGCTGTTTAAAAAAAGGCCCGAGGTGACGGCAAACATTTAATTTTAATGAATGACTTTTTCGAGTTTCTCCCAAATGACCTTAGCTCGCTACCAGGAATGCTCCGAATGTTTCGTCAAGACTTCAGCGCTCTCCCAGGACGTTCCCGAACACGGCGTCCCAAATTAACTTTATGGGAGTCCACAGACGGCAAGACTGGACGCTGGGATTGGCGTTTTTTTGTCTTTCACATTCCTTTTGGAAACCCTGTGGTTCGAAGGCAAATCATCCACTCAAAACACTGTCCTTCCGCCCACCGAGGCGGCTCGCGAAGCCTGACCGCCACCCGGACGGTATGGTTTCACCTGCCGTCCATGCGGCCGAGCCCAAATGTTTTCCATTTTAATCTGTGTCCTACACTCCAGGAGAGGAGTGTATCGAGGAGAGGAGATGCTAACGGATCTCGCGCGGATGGGGCCGCGGGGCGGGGGGGGGGGGGGCGCGGGCGGTGGAATGTGCGGACGTTCTGGATCCAAAGGACTCACGCGGCGAAGTCTTAGATGCCTTGAATTGTGGCACGACGCCTCGTCTCAGAGCCCGGTCGAGCCGTCAGGAAGTGAGAGGCCTTCCGTGCAGACCGTGGTCCCCCCCGACCACTGGCGCGTGTTCCGCGAGGAGTCACGCGCGAAGCGTAGAAGCGATGCATTCGGACCTTTGAAATATTACGAGGGGTTTCTATTGCCGCGACAGGGTTTAGGGTTTCTGTATCTACCGATGTTCCCAGGATCTGTCTGTAGTTCTATACAGGTGCCGACCCCACGTTGTGATGTATGTGCTGTGCACATTGAGATGCCGAATAAATGGAAACATTTATCGTGTATGAAAAGAGTCCCGTTGGACTTGACGTAGCGTTCGGGGGAAGGTGTCGAAAACGATCAAAACCTGCGCCGAAAGGCCAAGTGTAGGGTTCCCTCCCCGTCTTCCAGTGTCTATTTGAGGCCTTGAGCCTTGCAGGGCTGCGGGTGGGGGTGGGGGAGACGAATTTTCGCCAGCTGTGTCCACACAAATGGAGCCTAGCGGGGTGTGAGCGTCACGGGGTTTCGCGGAGACTCTGAGTCTTGCGGTTTATTCTCGTGATGGGGACGGTTCACGCCGTCCCCACACTGGGACCAGCCAGAGCTCTGTGCCCCCTACCCCGGTCTGGCACGGGCCCCAGCACTCTCCTGTGGGTGCAGAGTGAGCCCCCGGAGCTGGTCATCAGAAGCCCGACTCAAGAGGTGCCGCGGTGGCTTCAGTCGGTTGAGCGTCCGACTTCGGCTCGGGTCAAGATCTCGAGGTCCGTGAGTTCGAGCCCCGTGTCGGGCTCTCTGCTGAGGGCTTGGAGCCTGCTTCCGATTCTGTGCCTCCCTCTCTCTCTGCCCCTCCCCTGCTCACACTCTGTCTCTCCCTCTCTCAAAAATAAATAAAAACACTAAAAAAAAAAAATTTTTTTTTAATTTAAAAAAAAGCAGATTGACCCAAGCGGAGTTTTCAAACTCTTAAGAAGATGCCACCAAGGAGTCTTGAAATCGATGTGCCGACTACAACTAGCCTTTTGTAAAAAGGAAATGGAGTATGGTCATGTGGAGCAGAAACTTCCAGAGCCCGTCCGCCATCGGAAGGGTATAGATTAGTTTGGGAACACTATGTATATAACGAGTCTCTACTAGGATGTGACATAGGACGTGTTTGCTCGTGTGCGTTGCAATAAAAGAAATTAAGTGGTGACCTCAGGTGCCTAGGATCTGGGTCCCCCTCCCCCCCACCAAACAGATGCAATCACTTGACAGAAAGAACCCAAAGGAGGCAGTTGGGGCTATGGGATCCTTAAGCGTACCCGTTGTGGTCTCCGAGACGTCACCTCCTTCTTTTCGACGCCCGAGACCTAGCTGTGCCCAAGATGTGCACGGGCGGTGTTAGGGGTTGAATCACGGCCCCCTGAAAAAGAAATGTTGGAGCCCTGGCCCCCAGGACCTAGAAGGTGACTTTGTCCGGAAATAGGGTCTCTAAAGAGATAATTGCGTTAAAATGGGGTCACTCGGCTGGCCTTTAATCCCGTGCGGCTGGTGCGCCTCTGAAGGGTCCGTGTGAAGAAACAGTTGGAGGGAGAGAAGGCTGGGGTGTCATACGTACAGGCGGAGAGATGCCAGAGCACGCCGGCAGCTGGGAGGGGGGCCCCGAGAAGATTCCCTCTCACAGCCTCGGAAGGAGCCAAGGGGCACGCGCCTGGACTTCAGACGTCCGGCCTCCGGAGCAGGGAGACCACGGGTCCCAGTTATGTAAAGGCACCAGGGTGGTGGCATTTTGTCACCGCAGCTCGAGAGAGTCTAGTACGTGTAGTTGACTCGTATTTCCTCCGGGGTGGGCGGTGGGGGGCAGGGATGAGGCCCGGAGCCCTGACTGGCCAAGTCCAGGCTTGGCTTTTCTTCTGCTGTCCCCTGGGGTCCCCAGAAGGTCTCTGGCCAAACACCCCCGGCCTCGTCCAGCTGCTGGGGTGAAAGCCTCCCCTTTGGTGGCAAAACCCGACAGCCAGACCGAGCCTTCCTGCCTCTGGCACAGGCTGCGAGGGGCCCAGAGGGGGACGGAGGGGCCACTCACTCACTCGCGTGCCTACGACGTTGCCGGGCACAGTGCTAAGAGCTCGGTAGCTAAGTGAAGAAAAGGAAGGGCCGGGGCCCTCGTGACAATGAGGGTGTCGGCTGCACAGGAGGTCGTGAGAGCCCTGCGAGGTGGATGGGGCCACCCCGAGGGGCAGGGAGGGCGACGTGGGGAGGCAGGTGGCCCCCACCCTGGCCTCGCCGGGGAGTGGCATTTGAGCAAGGACTGGAGGCCCTGAGGGAGGAAGCTCTTCTGGGAAAAGCGTTCCCGGTGGCCGAGGGAACAGCCGGTGCGGAGGTGCTGAGCTGGGGCAGCCCCGGTACGTGGGGGCCCCTCCGAGGGGCCGGGGGGGGGGGGGCTGGAGTGCTGGCATGGGGGCGGGGAGGGCAGAGAGGCGGGTCGTGGGGACTGAGCGGAGCAGGGACGCTGCCCGTGGGCGAGAGTGGATGGTGGCGGGAAGGGGACCAGGCTCCTGTCGAGTGGGGTCGTCCTGACAGCAGGTGGCCCAGGGGGGTCCCTTCTCCGGTTGTGCTCCTCAGCCCTGCCCTCTCGTGGGTGAGCCAGCCTCAGGCCCCCTGCCTCCCAGCTGTGTGACCTTGGACGAGCCCAGTGACTCCTCTGTGTGTGAGGCCCGGGGCACAGTAACTGCTGCCTTTTGTTATTCTTATGGTCCAAACAGACGCCATTGCGGCCTTAACGTCCCAATCCTTTTCACCTTCATGCCTGTGCCCGGAGTGCTGTCCTGTGAGCAGAGGCCCTCTGTGCTGGCAGCTCCTGGCTCCTTGGAGGAGACGCGTCACACCCCAGATTTCTCCTCCTCCATGCAGCCTCCCTGGTTCACTCCAGCCTGCCTAAAGCAGGAGGGGTCGAGTCCCCTTAGCATTTCCTCAAGGCTAATACTTTGTAAGTGTTCTTGGTTCATAATTTGAATCCTACAAGCTTCCTAAAGAACGTGGGAGGGGAGGCCAGGGCCTACAAGGGGGCAGGGAGAGCAGCCCAGCGCTGAGATGCCCCCTCCCCACTTGGAGCCTCGGGCGCTTTCCGCTTGGGGCTGCGAAGCCACCTCTGCCTCCCCGGGTCCACACCCTAGAAGATCCGCATCCACCGGCCTGCCCAGCTCCCGCCCCGGAGACGCAGGCCAGACCCTGGGGTCGCCCTCCCGCCCCCACCCACACCCGGCGGACTCGGTCTCACCTCCCCTGAAAT